TCTCCATTGTAGTGCTTTTAGGTATAGAAGGACAGGATAGGCGGAGAATGCTTAGACGAGAGAATTTTTCTCTCCAGTGTAGTGCTTTTAGGTATATGATGTTTTTTTTTGTGTGGAAAATGAAATTACATTTTAGAATTTTAGGCGGAGAATGCTTAGGCGGGAAAATCTTCTCTCTCCAGTGTAGTGCTTTTAGGTATAGGATGCTGTTTTTTTTGCGGAAAGTGAAATTACATTTTAGGATTTTAGACGGAGAATGCTTAGACGGAAGAATTTCTCTCTCCACTGTAGTGCTTTTAAGAATAGGATGATGATTTTTCTTTTGTGGAAAGTGAAATTACATTTTAGGATTTTAGGCGGAGAATGCTTAGGCGAGAAAATATTCTCTCTCTAGTGTAGTGATTTTAGGTATAAGATGAAATTACATTTTAGGATTTTAGTATTATAGGATGATGATTTTTTTTTGAGGAAAGTGTAATTACATTTTATGATTTTAGGCGGAGAATGCTTAGGCGGGAGAATTTTCTCTCGCCATTTTTAGTGCTTTACTTCTTTTAGATATATATATGATGATGATTTTTTTTTGCGGAAAGTGAAATTACATTTTAGAATTTTAGATGGAGAATGCTTAGACGGAAGAATTTCTCTCTCCAGTGTAGTGCTTTTAGGAATAGGATGATTTTTTTGCGGAAAGTTAAATTACATTTTAGAATTTTAGGCGGAGAATGCTTAGGCGGGAGAATTTTCTCTCTCCAGTGTAGTGCTTTTAGGAATAGGATGATTTTTTTTGCGGAAAGTGAAATTACAATTTAGGATTTTAGGCGGAGAATGCTTAGGCGGGAGAATTTTCTCTCTCCAGTGTAATGCTTTTAGGTATACATATGATGATTTTTTTGCGAAAAGTGAAATTACATTTTAGGATTTTAGGTCGAGAATGCCTAGGCGGAAAAATTTTCTCTCTCTGGTGTAGTGTTTTTAGGTATAGGATGATGATCATATTTTTTTGTGGAAAAGGAAATTACATTTCTGGATTTTAGGCAGAGAATGCTTAAGCGAGAGATATTTCTCTCTCGAGTGTTGCGCTTTTAGGTATAAGATTTTTTTTTTTGCGGAAAGTGAAATTACATTTTAGGATTTTATATGGAGAATGCTTAGGCGGGAAAATTTTCTCTCTCTAGTGTAGTGTTTTTAGGTATAGGATGATGATGATATTTTTTTGTGGAAAGGGAAATTACATTTCTGGATTTTAGGCAGAGAATGCTTAGACGGGAGAATTTTCTCTCTCGAGTGTTGTGTTTTTAGGTATAAGATTTTTTTTGCGGAAAGTGAAATTACATTTTAGGATTTTATATGAAGAATGCTTAGGCGGGAAAATTTTCTCTCTCAAGTGTAGTTCTTTTAGGTATAGGATGAAATTACATTTTAGGATTTTTGGCTTAAAGCGCGAGAATTTTCTCTTTCCAGTGTAGTGCTTTTAGATGATTTTTTTGCGGAAAATGAAATTAAATTTTAGGATTTTAGACGGAGAATGCTTAGGCGGGAGATTTTTCTCTCTCCAGTGTAATGCTTTTAGGTATAGGATTAGGTATAGGATGATGATGTTTTTTTTTTTTGCGTAAAGTGAAATTACATTTTGTCATTTTAGGCTAAGAATGCTTAGGCGGGGGAATTTTCTCTCTGCAGTGTAGTGCTACTAGGTATATGATGATGATGATGATTTTTTTTTGTGGAAAGTGAAATTACATTTTAGGATTTTAGACGGAGAATGCTTAGGCGGGAGAATTTTTTCTCTGGTGTAGTGCTTTTAGGTATAGGATGATGATGATGATGATTTTTTTTGTGGAAAGTGAGATTACATTTTAGGATTTTAGGCACATAATACTTAGGCGGGAGAATTATTTCTCTCCAGTTAGTGCTTTTAGGTATAGGATTGCCAAGTACGCCTTTAATATTTAAAAAACATGCCTTTGTTTAATTATTTCAGTAGTCTCAATTGGGCTTGTGTGATTGTTTCTTGGATTAAAAGAAACTAAGCTCACAAATAATATTTTGTTTGACGTAAGTGCGCTTCAAGCTTAGGGCATGACACTGTGCATGCTTGGAGTGTCAAGAGTAGCAAAACGCTAGCCATTTTTAGACATTAGAGAGATAGTATAACTTCTTTTTAGAGTCTTTTAATCAAATGAGTTCTCTATCCAACATATGTACATTGTTCTATTCTTTAGACCAATCCCTTACATGTGGTGTTTTTATCACATATCATACTAGAATCTTGATTAAATGGGTTCTAGGAACTTCGATGTATGCAACCGGTTATTCTGAACTCTCATTTCAAGTTTCAGTCATGTCCAAATTGTCAGCTTATGTGGGTAGCAAATAAACGGGAGGAGTGGAAGCACCTGGAAAATGTACTCTCATTATTTTCCCCTGCATTGGTGTCCAAATCGGTTCTTATGAACCGCTCTCACACCCATTGTGTTTCTAAATAGTATGTAATTAAATTTGAGTTCAGAGCTTATGCTTTGGTCTATTTGCATGCTCTCTTTCATGAACATGTACATTTGTTTTGAAGTAAGATCTTTGTTAAATAACACAATTCCATGCGACGTACGTACTATATTTAGTTTGAATTATATTATGCATTAGTGATATCTAGAAATTTATGTACCATGTATCAAACATTGGGAAGAAAAAGAATAGAAACCTCAAACATTTGCACGCATAAGAACCTTGTGAAAAACATGTTAGTAGTATGAAACTTTCAATTTTTGCAATGTAGTGACATTTATTCAAATAAATTTTTTTCTTCTGAGTTGATTTTGTATGTTACTTATGATTGTGCTTGGTGTGGTGGCTTTCTTCCTAGAAAGTTGGTCATGAAACATAACACCTACTTGTATTATAAGAATTTCTTTCGAAACATGGCATTTGCAAGCTACAACCATTTTAGTGCTCACATTTTATACTATGTAGTTATTTGAAAAAATAACATAAGTTTAATATTGGGCAAAAGCTTCCGTGCCTTGCGCGACCAAACACTAGTTCTAAGGATACAAAACATGAGTCTATTTGTGAAAAAAATGATACCCCCGTCCCACAAAAAGGTTTTCACTTTCCTTTTGGACGTCCCATAGAAAGGTTCTCATTTCAACTTTAGAAACAATTAACAATCTTAAATGATAAATTAATCATTAAATATTAAAAATAATACATTTGTAATATCACATTTATTAACACTAACTCCATTATATTATATATCAATTAAAATTATTTCTCAAAATATACTCTAACTACCTAATTTAATAATTGTTTAAATAACCATGTTGTTTTGTCATGAGAACCTTTCAACAGGACAAATGTAGTATTATATGTACTTTAGCTTATTTGTCAAATTTTCCCATGTTTTTTGACACGCTAAATATTATGTAGTACTCCATATCTTATACGAGTAGAAAAATGCATGATGTACACGTTTTATGTGTACACCTTTGGCACACTTGTCTGTCTATGCAGACAGTGTTGTCTGTACACAAACAACTCTGTTGAACTCCGTAGAATTGTCTGTATACAGACAATTCTATCTGCGTAGATAAACAAATGTGCCAAAGGTGTACACAAAAAATGTGTCACCAAACCAGGGCCGTCTTAAGTCTATAAGGTCCATGTGCTGATTACAAAGAATAGACCATATATAGTACTAGTCATGAACAAAATACTTGAAAAATGTTATCATACATTGATATTATATCTTAATAATATGGAGTATCATAAGACTAGATACTCTTACAAGTTGAAGAGCTTATACAAAAAATGTTCTATAGGTAATCATATAAGAAGAATGAAGATGAAGAACATAAGATTGTAAGAAAATAACTGAAAGGACCGATTGTGTTTCTTGATTGATTGGAAAATCTTGGCCAGAAACTATGTAGAGTGAAGATTTAGCCGTTTCCCAACCCTATAATACTACTCCCTCCGTCCCGCTAACAACGGGACAAAAGAGAGTGACACGCAAATTAATAAAAAGTGGTTTATGTGGTTGATATTGAATTGATAGAGTAAGAATAAAGTAAGAATGATTTAGAGTCACACAAACTTTACCAAATTTGGTAAGGGACAATCTTAGTGGGACGGACCGATAAGGTAAAATGGGACAATCATAGCGGGACGTCGGTAGTATAAGCCAATAGAATTGTTGCATAGCCCACTTTCTTTTCATTTATTGTGGGATTTGTGGGTTTGATGCTTGGGAGATGGATATTTGGGCTTTCAAGCTTTGATGCACGTACGTAAGGATCTTTGAGTTCTTTTTTACTACTATTATGTTTTAGTCGAACTCTTGAATTTCTATTACAGAGTACTCTGTCGGTCAGGAATTCCTGACCAAAACCGCCATCCGGACTGCGGCATTTGGGGACTTTCCCGGTGATTTTTTTTATTAAAGTTTTATGGAGTGTTCTCCAACAAATCTAGTTCATCCACAAAAAAATTCAGCTAAAAGTTCAATCGATAAGGTACTCAAATAATTTTTGGAAGATAACTGCGCCAAAATATACATATAAACGCAGTTAACTTCCAAAAATTATTTGACGACCTTACCAATTGAATTTTTAGATGAATTTTTTGTGGATAGACTAGACTTAATGAAGAACATTCCATAAAAATTTCATCAAAAAATTTGATCGAAAAGAATCCTAAAAGCCACCGTCCGGACGGCGATTCCTGTCCAGAATTCCGGACAGGAATATTTCTCTTACATATATACTACTGGTTTTTTAAAAATTATGGGCCTTAATTATTTGTAGGCCCAGTGCAGAAGTACTGCTTGCACAGCCCAATAGACGGCCCTGCACTAAACACAACTCTATCTTATACTAGTACGTAGTATGTGTAACTTTGTTCGGTCCATTTTAATATATCATATGGCCCAATAAATAATCCAAACGGAGTATATAGTAATAAAACAACCCAGCCCAATGTATAACCTGCACCTTACCCGACCTGCCACTTCCTCTGATATCACCGATATCGATTCCTTCGCTGTACTATCGCCACCCTTCTCCGATCCCCCACCGGCAGAGAGTTTACACCCGCTCTCATGGATACCCCGCCAGCCCCCTATTGGCTAATTAGATAAAGAGATCTCATTTACTATTGAATCACGTTCGTCATTCTACAACAGAAAGACGCAAAGTACCGAAGATCTTCCACCTGTTAGTACCGAAATCTCCAGATCGGTAGGTTTTCACATGAATTTATTCGTTAAGTGCATGTTTTTGTTTCATACCAATCTATCCTAAAACTTAAAAGTCTGGTACTGATTTCATTTTTCATTCTTCCTTGATGATATCGAGTGAGGGTTCTTACTCACGAACACCTTGACGGCCATTTAAGTTAAGTTATTTCTTTAAGAAAATATGTTTCTCGTTTTTCCTAATCAGTGTGAAAGTCGGTAGATTAAAAGTTTTTTTATTTATTCGTTTTTAGGATGTTTTTAGCTGGACTGAAATTTTCTTAATTTACTCAATACTCAAATAGATTGTTGTTCCTTAACATTCCGTTCCTACTTTACTGCAATTAAGAGCAATAGAAATAGTAATTAGTAACTAACTAATATGACTCACGTTTAAATTAAAACAGCAGTGACCCCCCTAAATGTATTGTTTTTCTATCGTCATCTTGTGATCTCACTCAAACAAATTTAGGCTAGTTATTGAATTTTTATCACCCTAAATCAAACAGACTGTTATTCTTTATATCCTATTCTCATTATAAATACATTTCAACTAAATTAACTGTTTTACCATAACTATTGAAAAAACTAACATAGTAACATAAATACTACTACATATATATGGAGTATGTTTTTTCTATAATCAAGGAGCAAACCTATCTAACTAATTTAACTCTCCTTACAGTACACACACATGAACTAACACTAAGTAGAAATAGTATTAAAATCATGCTGTCATATTTTTTGAAAATTCAGCCCACTTAAAATATACTATCCTCCTTATCATAATAGTTGCAACATTGGAATTTACTCACTATTCATGTACTCTACTTTGACTACATTTCATTTATTAATGCATGTGAGTTATTATTATTTTGAAAATATTGTTGAATTCATCTCATTACAAAGTTTGATAATATGATTTTTAAAAGTTTTTTACTAATAGAGAATTAAATATAACGACGGTCAAAGTTGTGCATTGGCAAGCGTGAAAAAAGGAATGTTGCAACTAAAAAGAAACGGAGGAAGTATTTTCTAATGTTATTTTTTTATTCTATATTTTTTATTTCTCAAAACATGCCTTCTGCAAGATTGTTATCAAAATATTTTACTTCTAAATCATTCTATATATATGCCTTCTCAGTGAAACAAAAATCAACCATGATTCGAGTTAACTGTCTAATACATATATAAGTTAAAATTTGTATGTAAGCATTGCTAATTAGTATGCATTATAGACAAAATTTAAATATACAACTAAAGTAATATTTACCCTCACCAGAAACAGAAACAGAGGTTGTCTTAGATGTGGATTTAGTTAGTTTAACCATTTCTTTCACACTCAATCAAAAGTAGTTCTCTATCCTTAACATGAAACATCTAAATATCATTCATTATAGAAAAATTCCTTTTTTTTGTTTGTATAAGCTAGTAAAATAATAGGTTTACACATCACTCACACATAAGATGATATTTTTCATATTGCAGACTGAGATTGAAAAAGAGAATGAGAAAAGGTAGAAGAATTGAGTTGTATTCATTCGGAAAGTGTTTGCTAGGTAGCAGTAATTATAGGTAAATGAATGATCTTTTCATAAAGAAAATAGACATGTCCAGAACAGGTTGGCGAGATTTGATTGGCTAAAAATACACTTATCCCAATGAAATTTTATTGGCTGAAAATACACCTTTACCAATGAATAAGATTGCTAGATTTGATGGGCTGTATTTTTTTAAATACAATTATATTTATTGATGTATATTTTGTACACATTCTCCAAGAAACAAGTTGTCGCCCGTTGGGACTTGATTGGGTCTGTTTATAGTGTGTTCATTGATTAGCTTTCAGCAATGTTTCTACTGTATATGTTGTCTTTATTTTTTAATTTTAATTCTTTGTAATAAGTCTCCATTGTAGCTGATACGATTTTTAGTTGGTATACAATGTTCTGTTGAATTACTTCAATATTTCTACTTTTGAGGCTTTTATCTGGTGGACTCGTGTAATTGCGTGCTGCGTAATACCACGGGGATGTTTGGGTGGGAATACTGTTTACAAATCATTTTGCTTTTATATAATGATAGATTTTGTGAACTTTGCCAACTTTCTTTTTTTGTTTGTCCCAAAAACTTTGTCACTTTCTCTTTGTAGTAATGAATTTGTGTTTCTGCTTGTTTCTCTCTCCTTTGCAAAATCCTCAACCTCACAATTTTCTTTCTTATTTCTCACCTAATTCAAAGTTGGCAAAGTCCACCTGAACGGAGGTAATAAGTTTTAATAGTCTGTTTCAACTCCTGCAAAATAAGTTTTGTTGTAAGAAACAATACAACCGCATCAAAGGCAATCCATGTTAATTAATCATTAGGGTTTTATTTTATCAAAACTCGCATCATCCAAAACAAGAGTTAAACTATTTATATGAAATATACTTATACATCTTCTACTTGTATTCTTTTATCTTAGTTATATACTACGTATCTTTTATCTTAGTTATATACCTTTGGTATTCTTCTATTTGTAGTTTTGTACTATTCTTGGTTCTATAAAACTTAATTAAACTTATTCCCATTATGTTTCCATGTTCGCCAGAAAATATATTAATTCACTCTACCGGCCAATGGAAGTTTTCATTACAAAAAGTTGGACTTAGTTAAAATATAACTCAAGAGTACTAAAAGTCTAAAAGTCATCCATTTATTGTTTCATATATGACATCCAAGTTATTTATTTGAAATTGGTCTCATATTTTCTATATTATGCTTTTAGAATTTATTTACACATGCAAACAAACTTAATTTTTGAGGAACAAATCCTAAAAGACCATGTGAAGGGTGTATATCCCCTTAAAAACTGAGACTAGGTATCACATGCGTTCTTTCAATTACTGATTTGACTATGACAGGTCATATAACATTAGTAATCTTAGTATACATTTGTGTCATTCTGTTTTGAACTTTTGCTGTTATGAGAAGGTTCAAATTGAAAACATTAGCAATTTAGCATATTACTTGGGGTCTTTGTTATCATGTAATTTTTTGTAAAATGGCTAATAGATTCAACTTTGCATAAGTCACGTGTTTTAGCATGCTTTCATTAGGAGTGATGTGCAGTGGGATAAACTCCTTATGTGAGATTGATAGTTATTGCTTCATTTTGGTATTTTACCTATAGATCAAAATCATTATTATTGATTTTGGTATAAACTCCTGCATGTTTTATGGGTTAAAAAGTTTAAGTTAAACTTTTGGCACATACCTCATCATCATCATTTTCATTTACCCCAGTGCCGCAAAGGCTCCCACCTACGGTGGGGTAAGGGGGGGTCGGATGTACGCAGTCTTACCCCTGTACTAAAGCACAGAGAGACTGTTTCCGGATGACCCATAGTGAAAATCGCGTCCAAGATTGCATGGACTGACTGTTGCTCCATAACAAAGAAGCGCAGACAGTTTAGTGAGCCATTTTGCTTTATTCCATCATAATCTCAAGCCAAAAAATAATGAATCTTTGGCTCCATTGCAAATGATGGAAAATTTTTGGCACATACCTATTAAGTCATTTATTGTAATTAGCTCAAAAGATAGATTAAGTCACTCTTTGTATTTCAATCTGTTAGAATACATAGGAAGTAATTATGTTTAAGGAAAAAATATATAGATTATCATAATATTACACAATAGGTTTCAATAATCAGATGGTACATTTTTACACAGTTTCACTCACTGATAAAGTTACTTGGCAAATGTAAAATAATAGAAGAAAGAACCTGTCAAATGATGTATACCTTTCAGGCTATTTTAAATAAAAATACAGTGAAAAAATGCTAGTGTGTAATGAAAAAGTTCAATAATATGAGGATGGTGAGGAGCGTACATTCTGTTATCTTTAGTGAGAAATGCAAATCTCATTCCCATATTTGCATTGCTAAAAGTTTTGGCAATAGTGCATAAAAGAAAATACAGAGTAATACATTGACATTCATTTTTGAGATCTTCGCCCTTGTTTGCCCTGGGTAGCTGGCTATAAACAGTTATATATGATGTAGCAGAATGTTTTGGGGAAGCCCACCACTAATGGCTTTTTAATGTAGCCACTTCTCTGAAATTCCAAAGGGCACCAGGGCAATAGTAAAACAGTTTTTTATTTATTTTAATTTTGGTTTTGATAACGGGGTAGTCTAGCCATTGTCCATTTTTATATTACGTAGTTTGCTGAGCGTTCTATAGTTGTGTACTCCAACCGTTAGTATCAAGTGTGTTGTCTCTTAATAAAAAGTTATCACTTCTTTTGATTTTGGGTACATCTAGAGCAGTGAAAATATGGCACGCATGTCTTGAAAAGTGAAAAGGACAGAGACAGCCACATATATTGAATGCCGTATCTCTCTCTGTTTAGTTTTTTAATTTTTTTCCCACAGCATCATATCTATCCACTTTAATCAATTTTATTTTTGTCTTTTTTCAAATCTTTCCCGCCTAAATCCCCTCTCACAATTCTTTATATATATATATATATATATATATATATATATATATATATATATATATATGACTGTCACTAGAGCTTGTATATTTTCTAACTCTACATCACTACATGGATGGCTCGATTTGAGTGCAATTTTTCATAGGTTAAATGTGTAGTTTTTATATATACTACCTCTGTCCCGTTGAAAGGTTCCCATTGCAAAATGGCACGGTTATTTAGACAATAATTAAATCAGGTAATTCGAGTCTATCTTGAGAAAAAGTTATGATAGGTACATAGTATAATGAGGTTAATGGTGATAACTGTGATGTTTTATATGTATTATTTTTAATATTTGATAATATAGTATTTAAGTTATCATTTAAGAGTGTTAATTGTTTCCTTAAATAGAAATGTCAACCTCTATATGGGACGTCCAAAAAAAGAAAGTGGGAACCTTTATATGGGACGGAGGGAGTATTACTCTTTACCAAATACCAATAGATTAACTTTATGTCATTACAACGTCAGTAGTTGATTAATGCTTCTCTTGGATGTTTATTGGTTTAGGCTTGAATGAAATTCGGAATCTTTATTCATCGGATGCCCTAGTTGTTTACATGTATTTTTTATTTAGCAGGAGCTTGTTTGGCTAATAGTATTTGTATGATCAATTTTTTATCAATTGCTATAAAATATTTAGTTAGACTTCACTTTTTCTTTAAATGATGTTCTCTTTTGCTAGCTAAGATAGATACGTAGTATAATGCATTCAGGGAGAATTCTCGAACTGCCAATTTAGTCAGCATACAAGTAATGATTCTTTTTCTGAAAGTGCAGATCATTAGGCGTAGCAAAATGAACACAAAGATGGAGGACTCAAAAACTTCGAAAGAGCCTGATGATATAACTGAAGTGGGTGATGACTCTGACGGTGAAGAGGATGATGTATGTGGCATTCATCATTTTTGTAATCATCCCTTTTCAGATTGTTTTAATCCCGAGGAGTTGACAGGGATTCATCATTTTTGTAATCTTCCCTTTTTAGACTTTTTTTTATTCCTGAGGGGTTGACATGAATGGACTAGGAGGTTATCCATTCACCTTAATGACTAATTTGCCCTTCAATATTTTTCTCTTTCTAATGTATGGGGAGGTGGTTTTTTATGGGAAAGGTATTTTACTCACTGAATGTAGAGGATTTCATTTATACCATTTCATCCTTTGTTTCAAAACTGTCTGCGCTTCTTTGTTATGAAACAACTGTCAGTCTATGCAATTTTCGATGCAATTTTCACTATGGTCATCCGGAAATAGTCTTTCTGTGCTTTAGTACAGAGGTAAGACTGCGTACATCCTACCCCCTTACCCTACCGTAGGTGGGGCCTTTGCAGCACTAGGGTAATGATGATGATCCTTTGCTGCATATTAATTGCACATGAACATTTGCTCATGATGTTGCGCCTTTTTTCTACTGCATTTATATTCTACTATTCTCTGAGCAGTTGAGTTTTTTTGCCGGAAACAGGTAAAGGTTTGTGATATATGTGGAGATGCTGGTCGGGAGGATTTGCTTGCAGTATGTTGTAGGTGTACTGACGGAGCTGAACATACGTAAGACTTGAAGTTGGTTTTCTTGTTCATATATTATCTACCATTCATGTAGTTCTTTTTATGACAAGTGAAATTGGTTGTTATCATAGTTATTGCATGCGAGTGATGATTGAGGAAGTCCCGGAGGGAGATTGGCTCTGTGAAGAATGCAAACATGAAGAGGACTTGAAAACCCAAAAGCAAAACAAAACTTCTAAGGTTGATGGAAATGAGAGCACTTGTCCTGCTGGACAAACAGCCATTATCGGTTCTGATCATCCTGGTAAGGTAGCACCAATATTAGGCTCTAATTTAATTGGAGAAACACGTATAAAAGAGTCTTGCTATCAGATAGACTTTGTCAAGACTCAAGAGTCACATGGGCAATAACAAAATTTCTTCGCCACAAATATCAAAAGATCTCAAATCTATTTCAGGTTCAACAAGGGAACAAGGCTTTATCAATGTTGCTTCACTTTCTCGTGAAAGCTCATTTAAGAACTCTGAGAAGGGCAAACTGAATGTATATCCATTATCTACAGGTTAGTTTCTGATAAATTGGCCAAGTAGTCATGTTTTATGTTTTCATCTCTTTAGTTAGAAAACTTTCCCGAGTTAGTAAACATCCACATCCTCAAAGTATTTTGCCTCCCCTCACATTACCTTCACAGTCAAGGGAAATCATTAGTTTAACCTTCTTTGGTGCGTCGGTGAGCACATAGTAATAAATTAGAAACGTTTTTGCAGGTACATTTTCAAAACCCAATTTATCCAGCTCCCGGATTCACAGCCCAAAAGTCAAACTTGTTGATGGTGTTCTTCCTTCAAAGCGGAAATTGGTGAAGGGAACTGCTTCCACTAAATCAAAAGGGGGACCCTTAAGATTAATGGGAAAATCACAATCTTTTAAATCCACCAGCTCAAGTCGTTTTTGTGATTCTGAATCAATAGTCGAGGTACCATCACCTAGATTTTCTCATGATGAGGATACAAAAGGGCAAAGACATACTAAAGAAGACAGTTCATTTGAGAGGAAAAGTTTTCGCAAACCAGAAAGTATGGCTGGTTCTCCCATTTCTTCACTCAATTTTGATAAGAGAACAACACCCAACTGTTCCCCTTCCCTACCTTATTCCATGAACAAAAAATTGCTAAGTTTTCAATAAACTTAAGTAAACTTATTCGGAGTCTATTATTGGAATTAGAATGTAGTGTCTACTAATATGTTTATTTAGAGCCCGTTTGGCAAGGCATCATATGGCTAAAAATGACTGAATTTGCTAAGGTTGTGGGCGCATTAGTTAAATTGGCTTATTTATGTCGAACAAACTAAAATACTTATTAATTAAAAATATGAATGTAAACAAATTGTATCAAACTAAAGGGGTTCAAGTTCCATTTCATTTAGTTCGATCTATTTGAGCCAAAAAAGTAACTTCCATACTACCTTTTTTCATTATCAGAGCCATTGAAATAAAATAATTTAGTGTATGGTGAAAATACACTGATCAGCCAAAACAAATAATGAATTTTTATCGATATCAGGAGAATTCAATAAAGATGTGTCTGGTTTTGATGAAGATTCACCTGCCAATCCAAAGGAAGATTCCTCCTCAGAACAACACGGCATGGTTGATAAATCTATTGTGGTAGAGGCACCTCTTGTAAAAAAATCAGGAGAGGCCATGATTAGCCCCTGTGATTTGAAAGCTGCAATTGAGGCTGCTATGCTCAGGAAGCCTGGAATTTGCAGGAAGAGTAAGGGTATGTTTGGATTCCAACTTCAGTATATGTTAAGGATATTATTATGTGTTCAGTTTTAGCACTAAAAATGAAAAGGAAAATGAAATTTAATTAATATTTATTTATTTTACGTTTAGATTGCTTAGTCTTTATATAACACATGTTCAAGTCTCTAGAGTAGCCTTTCTCGAAGTGGAAAGGGAAGGCTTTTCCCCTATACACCCTTGTGGTGGGACATTGGGACCCTTCCCCAAACCTTTGCTTTGCTGGGATGCCAATGTGACCAGGCTGCCCTTTTCGTAGTCTCTATATAACATAAATATACTCCCTCCGTCCCGTTGAAATGTTCCCGCTTTCCTTTTTTGGATGTCCCGTTGGAAAGTTCCCATTTCCCTAAATGGAAAGTTATCCTACATCAAAATAGGGTCAAACAGCGCAAAACAGTGCCAAACAGTGTCGAAACAGTGCCAAACAGTGTCGAAACAGTAAAATTTACCCCCTGGTAAGTTTATTTCCTTAATATGTGTGTAGGTCAAACCGGGAACATTCCAACGGGATAGAGGGAGTATTAAACAAGATAGGTTTGAGCAACTATACTTTTTTTAGTTCGATGAATAGATTTATTTCTCTTGCATTTTTTCTTTCCAAATTTCCCCATATTTACCTCATTTTCTTTCCCTGCGGACTCTATGTTTCCTGATAACTCTGAGATTTTTTTTTGCAGTGAACATGGACAAGGAAGCTTCTGCTCAAGATCAAATACCCAGTTCAGAAAACAAGAGAAATCTTAAAGGTCTGGTAAATGTTGATGCACTAGCAATATCCGTGCTTCTGAAATCAGCAATTCCAGAACATCGGTACATATGGAGGTATGAGTCTTTAACCTTTTTAGTTCGATGGTCGTGATTTATTGCCCCCCCTCCAACAATCTGCGTACATCTCACCTTCTCCAGACCCTATTTCCTAGTAGGATACCTTGAGTATGTTTTGTTTAGTGTGGTTAATCTATTATCAAGGGAAGTTGTAATTTAGGGCTTGTTTGGTTGGGGATTTTGGAGGGGAAAGGGGATTGATTTCTATTTTACAAATTCATCTCTATTTTGTTAATTTTAGATTGAATATTAAATATATGTGCAATTGAATTCATAATTGGGCTGGAATCTCTCAAATTAGGTATAATGCAGATTCACATGTCTATATTAGTTACTCTAGCAGAAGACCATACCAGCCCATCTGACTTCTCTAATATTTCTATATTGTACTATTAACTACGGAGTATTTAGTTAGATAAATCATGTAATTCTGTATAAATTTTCATCTTCATTTTTTTCCAACCATCTAAATGTAAGAAATAAATTGAAAAAATATGACCTTTTTTCGAAATTCCCCACATCAAAACAAGGACTTACCGGAAGATGCATATGAATTCTGCACGATTTTTCTTGTGTAGTGGAGATTTTGAGGTTTTCAAGAGTGGGAAAAAGCTAAATCTATGTGACGGCATTCAGGCTCATTTAGCAACTTGTGCATCTCCTAAAGTTGTTGATGAAGTTAGGAAATTCCCTTGCAAGGTGTTGCTTAATGAAGTGTCCCGTTTGAGTACCTGGCCTCTTCAGTTCCATGAGTTTGGAGTCAGAGAAGATAACATAGCCCTCTTCTTTTTTGCAAAGGACCTCCTGAGGTATCATTCTTTTGATCTCCTTCTCCTGAGTTATTTTTTATAAGTTTTATTATTATCCCTCTTATGTGACTTGTTAACTTCAGGGCCCGCAGGATTATTCAGGCAATGGTCTGAGACACCCTGGTTATACAATAAAAACAATTCTTCATGCATTTTTCCAGAAGTAAAGACTAAAGAGTTACTAGCAAGTTAGGATAAGATAAGTTTAGTTAGAGTCAACAAATCATTTCATTTTCATTTTCATTTTCATTTACCCTAGTGCCGCAAAGGCTCCCACCTACGGTGGGGTAAGGGGGGTCGGATGTACGCGGTCTTACCCCTGTACTAAAGTACAAAGAGACTGTTTCCGGATGACCCATAGTGAAAATCCCGTCCAAAATTGCATGGACTGACTGTTGCTTCATAACAAAGAAGCGCAGACAGTTTAGTGAGCCATTTTGATTTATTCCATCATAATCTCAAGCCAAAAAATAAAGAATCTTTGGCTCCATTGCAAATGATGGAAAAAGTTAGAGTCAACAAATAAGTTTTAAAAATATATGTAGTAGGGTTTCATGACTTTTAAGAGTTGTACCTTGCCAAAATTTAAAAACCGTACCTTGATTAACATGGAGTATGTTTTAAGCGTTATTCTTTGTTTCTTTCATCTACAATTTTGCTTTTTATTATGGTGCAGTTATGAGAATAATTACAGAGTGCTGATTAGGAATTTGATGAAGCATGACCTAGCTCTTCAAGGGAACTTTGGAGGCATTGAGCTGTTGATATTCCCGTCGAACCAGCTTCCCGAAAAATTCCAAAGTAGGAACAATGAACACAGTTCTTGATATTTCAGTCACGGTCTAATCACGGAAGACAGCCCCCTTAGTACGGATTAAACAGATTATTCCAATCAATTTTCCAATAGTATATATAGTGTACTTTATTGAGCAATGGATATATTTTCTTTCCAGCTGAGGGTTCATTCAAATGAATATATTTTGTTATGTTTGAAAAATATTCTTGATATTCCTAAGGTTTTGTTTGGACCACAAAAATGCTAGGAAAAGAATAAAAATGCCAAGGAAAGGAATAATATTTTGTTCAGTTTAAAATACACAGAAAAATGAAATAAATTCAATTTTACCCGCTTTGACTTTTGACATTTAATCATAAGTTCTTTTCTTCATTTGTTATTTTCTTCTTACCCGATATATGCAGGGTGGAATATGATGTTTTTCTTATGGGGCGTGTTCAGAGGGAGGAAGGTGAATGAAAAACCACTGACCAGAGACATTCCCAGTGCTTCACAAGTATCTAAATGTGCATCTTCACATACAGAGGTAAATTGGTTCTGTATTATGGAATTACTTTCAGTGCGGGGTGGATTAATTTAATTAATGGAAGATTGATTTGAATAGTGAATTTGGAAAACTAATTCTAAAAAATGCAGTTTCTAATTTTAAAAAGAAATGTGGTTTGAAAAGAATTATCAAATAATAAAAAAACTTGTTTGTATTATGATGCTTGTTTTATGAAAAATGTAAGATTATATTCAAAAAATTATTCAAAATCTATATTGTAGGATGCTGACGAGTTATTACTATGTTAATGTGTCGTTCTTAGGTTGTTGAATCTCCAAACACTGTGCACAACACAGCTTATGTAGAAAACAAATCAAAGGAATCTATTAGCAATAACAAGGCGACATTGACTAGTTTGCCCTCACACCACAAATCTACTGTCCAAGGAGCTCATTTGGCGATGACTGACAACATGGATATAGACACTACTTCCATGAATATGCAATTCTGAGTTACAGTCAGGCCAGAATATTTTTGCTGATGAAGCGCATTACAACACGAAAGAGAAGGAAGCCTACTTGCAATGACCAAATTAGCTTTAACATTGGGGGTTTAATGAGATATAAATATATACGTATACGCGAGGCAAGACAACAGCTACCTTCCTACCTGACCGTGGAAAGGCACATAGGATTCTAAGACAGCCTGTCACATACCCCTTTTATCGACTCCACAATACGTCGTCCCCATGTCTCATCGCGGTTGGGGGGGGGGGGGGGGGGGGGGGACAAACCTTAGCTCGGAAACAATAGATAAACGCAGAGCTGTTGTATTTCTAGGGCGAAGCTTGCTTTTCGGTGGGGGGCTGTGAAGAACAAATGATGGGTCATGTATTTACAAAAAGGCATTATTGTATAACTATCCTCATGAGCAGGGGTGTATATCCACATGCATGTATGTTTGCTGCATTATAATTTTAAACTTTTACCTTAGCTGTTTCTGCTCTCCTCATAGGGGTTTTTGTATAGAGTAGAGAAAGGATTAGTCACCCTGATCTTCAGTTAATGTTTCTTTGTCATTCCAGCTTCCCGTTCTGAGTGTACTGTCCAAACGCATCATCATGCATTATATGTGTACCTGCTAAAAAGGATAGACCACCTTCTACACTACTGTTTCCATAATTAATGAAAAACTAAAATGGTTAATAATTATTATATTGTACACACAGATAGTCTCATTTTGCCTAAATAACTTTTTAACATTAATCTATTCACATTCAATTGAATAGATTAGTATAGTATGATACATAAACGTTCCGGCAATAAATAAATAAGGTTTATCTAATATATTTTGAGAAGCAGTTTTCATAGGTGTATAATACAATGAGATCACTAATGATAATTGTGATGTTATAAATGTATTGTACTTGATTATTTAATTACACTTGGTATTCGATGAGCAAGTTCTCACTTAACAGTATTAATTCTTTTTTTCTAAAATAAAGATGAGAATGTTTGGTATTTAACTATTTAGTATTTATGTTCAAAAAAGACAAGTGAGAAGCTCAAATAGGACGGGCCGACGGGGAGTATCTTTTTTTCTTTAACTTTACATTGAGTTCATATATGTCTCACATTATTAAACTGATGGACATCTCCTGAAGATAGCCTAGACTTTTTAACATCTTCTTGCCTAGGGGTGGACAAAATAAAATTAATTTTTGCCCGGCCTGGTCCCGGTTCTAACCCAGGCCGGTATCGGGCTTGAATTTTTTTGACCCGGAGCCCGGGCTCGGCTCGGGCCCAGTCCACCCATATTCTTGCCTATATTCTTATTTATACCAATTTGTTACAAGAGATTGATGTTTTAGTTTACATAATTACCACTACGTATAAACTAACCTGAAAAGTTTCTAATGCATTATTATAATATTATCACTCCATCCCAATAAAAAAGTCGTGTATGTGTATAGGGAGGGACTCGGCCCGGGCCAATCGGCCCGGAACCGGACCGGCCCGCTACTGTGCGGGTCTGGCCTGGCCCGGTGAATTGCTTCCTCCACATCGTCGTCCTCGTCCTCGAGCTCTTCTTCATCAATGGTCCTCGGTTGGTCTTGAAAAAAGCGGGAATTATGTCGGTGCAATTCTTGTTCTAGTTGTTCGTCGGTCATCGCATCCCCATCCCTCCTTACGTAACCCGTATCAAAATCATCTTGACTTTGAGATGAAGACCCGATATGTGATTTACCTTTGCGGGATCTCTTCCTCGCAAGCTCTTTCGTTCGGTTGCGCTCGAGGTTACCCATATCAACCGAATATCTAGGACGATCCATCTAAAAAATGTAGCGATTAATAAAAAATTGTAAAAAACTAATTAACTATTTATCTAACTATTAATTCGAGTTATAGCAAATTAAGTAGTGAATTAACTAGTTTTGTGTAAAACATATTTTTTAAACTAGAGTCAAATGTAGCAATTAATAAAAAATTGTAAAAAACTAATTAACTATTTATCTAACTATTAATTCGAGTTATAGCAAATTAAGTAGTGAATTAACTAGTTTTGTGTAAAACATATTTTTTAAACTAGAGTCAAATGTAGCAATTAATAAAAAATTGTAAAAAACTAATTAACTATTTATCTAACTATTAATTCGAGTTATAGCAAATTAAGTAGTGAATTAACTAGTTTTGTGTACAACATATTTTTTAAACTAGAGTCAAATGTAGCCATTAATAAAAAATTGTAAAAAACTAATTAACTATTTATCTAACTATTAATTCGAGTTATAGCAAATTAAGTAGTGAATTAACTAGTTTTGTGTACAACATATTTTTTAAACTAGAGTCAAATGTAGCAATTAATAAAAAATTGTAAAAAACTAATTAACTATTTATCTAACTATTAAACAAGAGTCAAATGTAGCAAATTAACTAATAATTAAACAAGTGTAAATAATAGAATAATTTCGTACCTCTTTCGGACTTTCGGTCTTTCGGATGGGAGTAATAGAATGACTTCAAATTAATTAGATATAATTCCAACTATATTAATAGATATAATAAATATATAAGTAATATATAATTAGATAACAAATATAAGTAATATAATACTATTTATATCTATTTATAGTTTATATAAGTAGATAATTAATATAAACTATAAATAATAAATATAATATATTGGAGAATGGAGAATAAGAGAATTAGAGAGTAGAGAGTTAAGAATAGGATTTAGGAAGAATTGGAGAAGAGATATGAAAAAATGTTTAAGATTAGGAGTATTTATAGGTTTTTTTACCCCCACCCCCCCCACCACCCCCCCACCAGCCACCCCCCGGACCCCCCCTTTACCCCACCCAACGGCTATATAGCCGTTTGGGTTGTCCCCAGCCCCACCCCAACGGCTAGTAGGCTAGTAGCCCAAACCAATTTTTTTTTTTTTTAAATTAGACCCGGACCCGGGCCGGGTCACAATAATCCAGCACCGAGCCCGCCCCACCCCTTCCCACCGGTTCGGGTCCATACCCGGTCCCGGTCCGCCCGACCGGGCCGGTCCCGGGCCGGGCCGGGTCACGGGCCGGGTGACCCGAACCGAATCCATCCCTACGGTGAACCGGTTGGTGCCCGGTTCGGGCCACCCAGCCCGGTGTGATAGCGGTTCGGTCCCGGGGCTGCATTTTAGTGAACCGGCCCAGCCGGGCCGGGCCCGGTCCGACCCGCAACGGTCATATTTTTTTTATTTTTATTTTTAAAAATAGTTAAAGGCTCTATAGCCGCTGGGAGAGCTCCCAAACGGCTCTATAGCCGTTGGGAGCATAGGAGGGGGGGGGGGGGTCTGGGGGGTTAGGGGGGTTGGGGTGGGGGTGGGGGTGGGGTATACAAAAAAACCTATTTATACTCCTATTTTCTATACATTTTTTACACCTCTTCTTCTACAACTTTTCCTACTCTAAATTCTCTATTCTCTCAATCTCTCATATTCAATCATCTTCTCCAAATTCTTTCTACATATATATAATTTATATAATTATTATATCTACTTATATATTAATTATCTACTTATAAATATATACTTATACACATTCATATTATAATTCTTTACACATTATATTATATATACTATATATAGTTATACATTATATTATATATTACTTATAATATATTTACACATTATATATACTATATATACTTATACTCATTGATATAGACTTATGCACATTCATACATTTTATAAAAGTAGTTAATTGTTAGACTTCTCGTTTATCTATTAAATTACTTAATTGTTTCATTTGTCATATTAATATTAGTTAAAGTAGTTAACTGTTTCATTTGTCATATTAATATTAGTTAAAGTAGTTAATTGTTTCATTTGTCATATTAATATTAGTTAAAGTAGTTAAAGTTAATTGTTTCATTTGTCATATTAATATTAGTTAAACTACTTAATTGTTACATTTCTCATATTAATATTAGTTAATTGCTACATTGCTCATTAAAGTAAAAAAAAGTAGTTAATTTTTACATTTCTCATATTAGTTAATTGCTACATTTCTCATTAAAGTAAAAAAAAGTAGTTAATTTTACATTTCTCATATTAGTTAATTGCTACATTTCTCATTAAAGTAAAAAAAGTAGTTAATTTTTACATTTCTCATATTAGTTAATTGCTACATTTCTCATTAAAGTAAAAAAAAAATTAGTTAATTTTTACATTTCTCATATTAGTTAATTGCTACATTTCTCATTAAAGTAAAAATAGTAGTTAATTTTTACATTTCTCATATTAGTTAATTGCTACATTTCTCATTAAAGTAAAAATAGTAGTTAAATATTGTACTCATATAAAATATTTGATATCATTTAATATTTGTTCAATTTTAAAGATGGAGCGTGGTAGACATTCTGTAGATGTGGGTAATCTCCAACGCAACCGCAAGAGGGAGATTGCATTGACTCGATCTACTTCACGCAAAGGCTAAGGTAAAGCGCGGGCCGAGTCTTCTTTTCAAAGTCGAAATGATTTTGAAACGGATTACCAACGGCGAGATGATATGATGATGTCCGACGAGCAACTACAACACCTATTGTCCCAAAATGATCCACGCTTTGCACAAGAACAACAATTCCCGACAACCATTGATGAAGAGGAGCTCGAGGATGACGATGCGGAGGAGGACGCGGAGGGCGACGGGACTCACGGCACCCCGGATGATGAGCAAGAGTTGGAGGACGAGGGCTGTTCAACGATTTCAACCCAAATTGGTAAGAAATCTAAATCTCCTATTATTGAAAACAATTATACAAAAAGGAAAGATGAAAATACCGAAAAATGGTACGCAAGTTGCAATCATTGCAACAAAGAGTTTAGCTTGGGAACTTCTGGCGGATACGGGAGTCTCAAAAGGCATCTTAAGTCCGCCCACTTTGTGGAGTATGCGAAAATAGACAAAGGCAAGGGGAAACAAACACAAATATCGAGGTTTGCAAATTCTCAACCCTTTGGTAATTTCTCCTATGATGATAAAAAACATTTGATTGGTATGTCTCATTTAATTGTTGAAGAAAATTTACCCTATAATTTTTCCGAAAGTCTTGCTTTAAGAGATTATGTTCAAGGTAGTTTAAATCCTCAATTTAGAAATTATAGTCGCAAAACGATTAAAAAAGAAGTTATAAGGCAATATAACTTGGAAAAAGAAAAATTACAAACATTTTTCGCAAACTTTGATGGACGTGTTAGTATTTGTAGCGATATATGGGAGGATACTTATCATCATTTATATTATTTGGGTCTTACTGCACATTATATTGATGATGATTGGAATATGCATAAACGTGTTCTTGCTTTTCGTGAATTCAATGATCGTCACACTGCTGATAATATTTATATTCTCATTGAACGTATTTTAATTGAGTATAATTTGATTGATAAGGTGTTTGCTGTAGGTTTTGATAATGCTAGTAATAATACTGCTTCTATACCTAGATTACGTGAATTGTGTGGTGCTTCTACATTGATGGGTAGATTTTTTCATCAACGTTGTGCATGTCATATTCTAAATTTGTGTGTACAAGATGGCTTAGCGGCATTAGGAAATGCTTTGGAGGTAGTGAAGGAGGGAATTAAATTGATTTGGGCTAGCACTCCACTAAAAATGCAATGG